TATCAGACAGCGCTTAGGCTCTTAGCCTTTCATTTAATTTTGATCAAATTTTTATCATTTAGTTACTCAGTATACGTTTGCTCCTGTCCTTGTAAACTTATACTTTTATACTTTAAGGGAGCTTAATACCTATATTAAGTTTTCCTTCGTTTAGTGTCGTCCAAAAGACCCAGTTTTTGGCATTTTTAAAAAAAGTAAGAAAAAGAAACGACAAGGTTTAATTTTTTGGACTTAGATTAATTTTTTCATCTAAAAAATTAGCATTATAACAGCATTTCGAGGCATAAAACGTTCGGTGGTGTATCCTCTTTGCTTTTTACCCTTTTTGGGCCTTTTTTTATGAAATTGAACATCACTTTTTCCGCCATATTGAGTTTGTGTCGATTTGGTGACCATGTCTTGTTGTTTTCAGTCTCCACGGCAATGATGCTGGTGTTTCACGCCTCCTGTTCTCAGATTTCTTGTGATTTTTTTTTTCACCCCACCGACCGACCCACCCAAAACCAGGAAACCTATTCGACGCTAAACGAACGAAAAGGGGATGACCTAAGCCTTATGGTTTCTTTTTGGGCTTCCTCACCACGTTGCTTCTGTGTGTTTCTGTATACTTGTCTTTTGCTTTGTTTTGTTGTTTTTTTTTTTTATCGGTAAAATAAACTGAAACTGTACAAAGACCCTCAACCTCGTCCCCAGGGCTTTTCCCTCAAAAAATGGGTGGGCCCGCCACACCCATTTTTTGAGAGAAAAGCTCTGGGGACGAGGTTGAAAGACCCTCAATATTCCCTTTGGAGGTTCACGAACGCGCATAAAAAAAATGAAAAACGCGATGATTTATTGACCGCGAGGGCAATGGGGTGGGGTCAGGGCTCGTTACTGGGCTCCGGTTCACTCGTACGCTGTCAAATGGTCTCGAAATACAAAATGAAAAATGACTGTGGACAGACTATTCACGTCTAGACATCAAGCATCTTTTAAGATGGGACTTATCGCCTCTCCCTGTTCATGGAGTTGATTCAAGATGTTGACGTTAATTTCGTGATGCCCTGCATGTTGCTAGGACATGTTTCAAAAGGGCCTTTCAAAGGTACGGAGTCCGCCGTCACCTTGTCAACCGTGCGAGATATGATGCACTTCACAAAAACAAAGAGAAGTTATTTTCGATTTGCCCCGCCCCCTACCCCCGAAAGTCCCCGACAGGACCGCTTCAAAGTACTCCCCACCCCCGGGCCCTAATGGCTGGACTTGTTCCTGTGGTTGCGCGGGGGATAGTAACAGGTCTACCTAATTGCACCGTGCATCAATGAAAGTTTAGCTCAATCAGAAGCCCCTTTTCCCTGGCTAGTTCAAGGTATGTGCACCTCCTTTAAGCTGTTGTTTTCGGTTCTTACTGAAATTTTTGATCTTCAGGAAATTCACAACGACAAGAGCAGGTTATGGGCTTTTTTCCTAGCCCTAATCCTACATTACAGGAAATCCCTCAGGTTAGGCAAGAATTCGATAATCCTTCCATACTCGATCATCCATTTTTTCACCGGGTGAATTGGGTATTTTTAGCTTATTTTGAGGAAATACTTTTTGCTTCAAATCCAGGGTGGGCTATTAAACACATTTTTTAAGCCAAATGGTTTTTGCGAGAATCTGCTTACCTGAACGTTTCGCATAAAAAACGACAAATACCCGAAAAAGCTCATGTTGTTGGTGGTGGTGGCATATTTCCGATAAATTCAGCTCAATGTCTCGTAAAGAAGAGTTCAGATCCATCCCGCGCGCCTCTCGAGGCAAGCGTTCCGTCGAAATGCGAGCCCAAAAACAGGTGGTAAGCGGTCAATCTGTGAAAAGTAACGCAATCTCCGTCGTTTGAGAGCAGCCGAAGGTGCTCTTGCCGATGCTGTCCTTGATGTTTTTTATTTCCAGTATCTAGGAAACCCATGTTAAGGTATGAAACATACACTCGTAGGCATTGTTCTGTCCGCTTAAGTCTAATTCCTGGACGCAGAAACGTTGTGCTTTTTGAAGTTTATTATTGTGGTTTGCCCTTTGACAACCTTACGTGACTCGTGCGTTTGGTAGCAGAAGATGGCTAAACTCTGCTTTTCTTGTTGGAAAACGGCTTTAAATTTTATCAGATCGCTCGATAAACACGTGTTGGTTTCTGATAGCTGATAACGTTAAATCACTGTTGCTCAAACTGATTTCTTATTGCATTTTTCTGAGTTTTTAGCATCGACCCGCTGAGTCTGGAAAGCTCAAATTTCAGAAAAGTACTACTTTTATTTCTTGGGCTCAAAAATTTTTTTTTAAGTTGCCCATAGTTTTGAAAACAGATTTTGAAAGAAGAGATAACGCTCTTTAACGTGGTGTAAGACTCGTTACTGAAACCGAGGTACCAGTCGACGATTTTGGGCTTTGAAATTTGCCATTTTTTCATTGAACGAAAACGTTCAAAATATTGAAAATAATGAAAAATCTCCAAAATATTACACTTTCGTTCAAACTGAGTAAATCACCACTTAGAATGTGTGCAATTAAGTACTCTTCTGAATAAGTTATTTGTTGTCCGCATTACAATGGATTTAAATTGTAAAACGATTTTTTTGTGACACATGGTCTCGGGCCTGGAAAACCCGGTCCGAGAGCCGCGAAACCAATAACCCCCCCGTACGTGGAAAATAATTATCGAATGGAAGTAAAAATTACATTTTTGTCAATATCTTACCTAGTGCTACTTTGTGAATTTTTTTGAGAATTTTCGATTTTTCACTTTAGTAGACCTCTGGTCGATATTTACTGACATCCGCTCTTAAGCTTTCTGTGCCTTAGTTTGAGATTTAGCCCATTTTTCTCTCAAAACTTGAATTTTTCTTATTCACAGGACGGTTTCTGGGGCATTTTTGCACGTATTTAGTCACTCACAAAGATTATTTCTAGCAACAAAATGATGATTGCGAATTTTGATAGTATGTACTTCATGTAAGACTTCATATATAATGTCCTAAGTCATTCCCATTGGGGGCTGGGTCAATTTGTCGGGGGGGTATAAAAAAGGGAGTCTCCAGATTTTAGATCTCCAGGGGTTGGCATCCCTGCTAAGTACAGTAAAATGCCGCGAAGAAGAACCTAGGATTTAAGAACCTGCTGGCAGAAATTTGTCGTTTTAATACTCCAAAATATAAGAACCAGTTTAGCCAAGAAAAATCAACAGGTTGTTATATGTGGGGTTAGACTACATTATCAGAAACATTTTGACCAAAAGTCTGGTTTTAATAAGGGAAATTTATATTACAGTATTGAAAATATAATGTAAAATGCAACAACACCTAGTTTTGTTAGATTTTTGGTAAATAAATGCCTATTATGAAGGACAAATACCCTAATTATATAGCATTATAAAATAACTGAGATAGTAGGCGTGTTCTGATTGGTCAAAAACCTATGGTTTATTATACCGGTAAACCCATAGAAAAAGGCATCCGGACCACGAGCCATAAACAAAACCGGCTATTGATCTGCAAACAACGATTTTAGAAAGACTAAAAAACAGAACAAGTTACTTACCCAGCCCTTCTTAAGATTAAAAGCGTTGGTTTCCACATTTTATTACTGAGCGTCACAATTCGCTACTGCCATAGCTTTAGAAGTTATAAAGTACAAAGCTGGAAAACAGTTTACGTTTCACGACGATGCCAAATCGCAGAGAAAGACAACAACTGTGTGAATTTATGGTGTAGAAAGTCTCCAGGAAAACTTAACCATGTGCCAACCAGCAACAAAACGGATAGTTTTAGCATTCTTGATTTATTTTATGTCAAAATTAAATTATTCCTTAATGAAAGAAATTGTTCCAAAAAGAGATATCTGATCAAGATATGGTACAAAATCGGCTGCTGTAGGTTGTAAACAAGCTGCCAACGATGATGAAAGATGTCAGAGTTTCAGGCTGGTTTTTTCCAAAATTTGCACAAATTATTCGGTGATATCGATGCCATAACCTACCTCAAACCACCTGACTTCACGAATCGACAAACATTAAAGGGCAACTGTCGGGAAAATTGACCCTGTTCTTTAAGCTTTCTATGGTTTCCTTATGGCCTGTAATATACCTCTCTGGTGAAATTTCCGATATATCTACGAACCTGATTTTTTTATGATTTTTCGAAAACTCACTTTTTGCCGCCATTTTGAAAACACTCGGATCTCAGATCGATCACGTGATTTTACGTCACAAGTGTGGAACACGAATTTTTTTGTGAAGATTATAGGAGAAAAACGCACCACATTTCTCTTGCGAATAAAGGAGAAATAGAGCCTCTACTGTTATATTAACGTTCGAGAAATGCATTTCAATGATGGTTCCAGTTTCTTACAATACCTGGGCATTAGATTCGGTGATTTAGATTTTTTCTGTGTTTTTTCAGTAGTGTGACTTTGAGACATATCGACCCGAGGTCAATATTTGTCAACAGCTGAGCTAATAATCTGCACCGTACAATTCAAAAGAGCATTATTCCTAAAGAAGATTTAAAATTCTGAAGCAACCATTAATGTTACCTGATGAGTGTTGATGCCCTTCATTCCTCATAAATGACTTTATTTATTCCGGGAAAAGCTCCGCGTATCTTTGAAGAGAACCCGGTCACGGACCGCTCTAGACAACCCGACCTGATTCATGATACTGACCTTTTGTGTTTTGATTTTAGTGTGTTGTAATCTTGTCTGAAATCTGCTGTACCATCCATTTAGCCCTGCTCCTAATTCACTCCTCGCCGAAAGTCCCGATTTCATGATCAATAATATTTTGAATGATCGCCTAATGTAAGAATCTTATCAAGTTATTCGAGATAAGCTCTCGAGATTGAGGCGTCAATCTATTGCGAAACCTGTCGACTATAAAATTGCCGTGATAGCACGCGTGCCTCGCTTCCTTTGCAATACTTCTCTTTGGGACTCAAGTAGGAAAAAAAAAATGAATTACCCATATTTAAATCCCCGTTGCGGTACTTATGGAAAACTCCTCCAAGGACAAAAAAACGGCCACGGGACCGAAAAAGAAGAGAGAACCAGGCAAGCGCTGCGCGGTTATGTTTTGTAACAACACCAACAAAGACGGAGTAAGTCTCCACCAGTTTCCCACCGATGAACCCTTTCGGCGCCAGTGGATCGCTTTTGTCTTAGCAAAGAGGACCGACGACTGGACGCCGGGATCTGGTAATATTTGCAGTTCCCATTTTACGCCAGACTGTTTTGAAGGAATGGGTGCGAAACTCGCAGGGTTTGCTAAGAAGGCTTATCTGAAGAAGACGGCCATCCCAACAATTCAGGCCAATCCCACCCCTGAACAAATCCAGGAAGCGCGCTCTCTTAAGAGAAAACGTCCATCTGCGGCAACGCGAGGTGATTCAAAGCGGCAAGTTCAACAAAAGGGGGAAATAACGCCAAAAAGTCGTCCAAAAAAGTCTAGTCGAGCCTTGTCTAAACTTACCGCTCATAGGGTGAGTATTAATTTTGTGTTTTTTGTTTAGATACCTTGGCATGAATAAAAACTTTCTAAAATATCATCAAGATAAACGATCATGATCAAAACGCAACAGTGTGCCTTCAAGATACAATAATACAATTTACTGAAATCAGGCAAAAGATTATGGAGCACATGCACCAACAGAAAACTGAAAAAAAAAATTCTTTGTTTATGATAGCTAGTGGCAGATTATAGGAAGACGCGAGAAAAAGAAAAGACCACTGATAAAGTACCGGGACCATCCCCAAGTGACAACAGACAACCACCAAGTAACAATCAACCTGAAGTTCCCGAAACAACGGATCTGGCACAGCCCTCAACGAGTGCATCTGGTGACACTTCGTGTTTAGAGACTGGTGCAGGGCAAGAAGAAGGAAGTCAGGCTCGGGAGTTTCAAACGGCTAACAAGGGAACTCAGAAAGGACTCCGCCGCCCAATCTGTCGCAGCAAAGGTAGACTTTAATCTTAATTATATCTTGAAAAATAAGTGTGTTTACAAAGGGTTTAGCCATCTTTTCAAACATTCTTTGCGATGCGACTATCTTTGGTGATTAAGGTTTTTAATCATAGGTACCCAGATTTCTCCAAAGTCCAACACAACGGTGGAAAATGGGTCACAGTGCAACATAGCAGAACTTCCTCCGTTAAAACTGCTCTCAACTTTACGTAAGGAGGCAGAAAATCAAACAGAGTATACACTTACGCCGGAGCTACCCGCGTCGTTTGAAGACGAGTTGTTTGAAGACGTTGACGTTGATGATGAAGAGTACAATCCCTACTTAACATCCGACGAAGATCAAGACGAAGGTGGTAGTGAAGATGAAAAAGAATCTGGAAAGTCAAAACGGTAAAAAAAAGTAAAGATGAACTATTTACACAAGCCGTTGATGAGTTTCATAAGCTACAGTAACGCCGGCTTGATTTAAACTCCGCACCACTCTATATCCCTCCTTTTTAACATATCCGCCCAAAGAAACAACTATAACCCCTATTTCTATACTCTCCGTTTAATATACTGAATGTTTCATTCTTGTTGTTGCTAATATTATGCAGATCTATTGGAGAAACGCAAAAGTTGAAGCCACATGAGGAAAGGAAATTTATTGTCTTCGAAACAAATCTGTTGAGCTTGTTTGCTTGTTGCCCCATCTGTGCTGGCCACGCAGAGGCTAAAATTTCGAAAGAAATCGGGACTATGATTCAGGTCCACTATCACTGTACGGAAGAAAATTGTCAGTTCAGCAATGTGTGGTGCAGCCAGCCGTTTTCTAATGGAAAGATGCCAGTTGGGAACTTGTTGCTTTCTTCTTCAATTCTTTTAACGGGTAAGTCTCCCTATTGTTATCTTTTTTTTTAGTTGCGTTCTAGGCGTGGTCCGTTGAAGACCTAAAGACAGGAGATGCGGCTACTTAATGGTCTTGAACAAAATGAACAGAGTATGACAAATCTGTAACTAGTTCCTGCAGTAGAAAGTTCAATAGGGTGAAGGTCGTTGTATTTTTTTTCCTTTCGTCACAGGAAATTCTGCCGCTAAAACCTTACGGATGTTTAATATTATGAACGTGGCGTGCATATCAGAGAGGACATACTACCGTCACATCAAATCGTACGTAAATCCCACTATTATACAGCAGTGGAAAGCACATCAACAGCAGCTCTTCAATAGTCTTAGCAGTCAGGACAACGGACTGGTTCTGGCTGGCGATGGAAGGTGCGATTCCCCTGGTTACTCCGCGAAATTCGGTTCCTACACGTTACCCGAACAGCAAAAGAACAGGGTGTTGGACTTCCAACTAGTTCAGGTCAGTGATTCTAGTATCTAATTCCAATGTCTCCCACATTTTTTAAAAAATAACTATGTGATTTCCGGTGTTGAGGCAAAATAAAAATATATCGAAACGTTTGATCCTTATTAGAGCAACGAGGTGCGGAACAGTTCTTGGATGGAACATGAGGGTTTAAAACGGGCCATTCAAGTCGTTTCTAATGCCAGACTGCATATAGCGGAGATCATCACCGACAGACACAAGCAGAATACCGCTTGGATTCGAACGAATTTGCCTGACTCTCGACACTATTTTGACATATGGCATGTGTCTAAAGGTAATGAGGGCTAAAAAGTCAACCCCAATAGTTTACTCGAGGTAACAATCGCATCCACACAAGGACTAATTAACAATTAGTTCATGCATCAGCGTGCGTATGTCGAGATATTGAGCACGCGGGAAGTTTGGAGAGCACGAAAGAGGCGTAAGAGTTGCACGAGGCGCAGCCGAGTGCAACTCTAGCCTCTTGAGTGCTCTCCAAACTTCCCAAGTGCTCAATACCTCGACATACGCACTGCTGAAGCATGAACTAATTGTTTTATAACATTATCAAAGCGATCAATGCAGCAGTTAACTTAAAATTTTATTATTATAGGGTGTGCTCAAAGCAATACGCGTCAATGTTTACGTCACTATATTTTTTTCCCTCACAGTTAATCTTATGTTTTTATCCTGAAACTGGGAGAAAGTGTACTCTAAAATGATCGTAAAATCCATATTTAGATGCCAGAAAACTATTAATTTACTGAAAAATTGTTATTGAGAGAAAACAACTTTGCAAAGAATGATCTCACGCCACCGCACAGCTCGCGCGGAGATGACAACAACAACAGCAACACTCACCTCTTTTCCTTACTATCGGTTAACAAATTCAAACGTTTCCTCTTAAATTTCCTTATAAAACACATGATAAACGCTTCATTGTCTATTGCTGAGTTATGGATGCACTCACGAGATTCGGATTGCTAAGCTCACAACAACTCGAGGAATTATGAATAGTTTATTGACGTCATCAGCGTGCTCAATAGGAATATGAAGCACGCTCGCGCTATTGAATTTGATTAGGCGAATTTTCTAGCTATGTTATAAAATAGTTTGTAATACATTCTATCCAGTTAAGCTCCAGTTGTCGCGTATGGAATAATTCGTTTTCTGACATATATGACCCTCATTCTGAACAGGTTTATGCAAAAAGATTGACAAATTAGCGAAAAAAAAAGAGTGTGAAGATGTCGGTGAGTGGCGACAGTCTGTATCAAATCATATGTATTGGTGTGCTGCCACGACACCAGATGGTAATGGGCGTATGATGCAGGAAAAATGGAAAATGTTACCCCTGCACATCCAGAACATTCACGTCAATCAGAGCAGCGAACTCTACAAAGAATGTGGACATGGTGAACTAGAGGGAGAAGCAAGGGATAGACTTTGGCTTCAACCAGGTTTGTAGACAAAAAAAAAAATGACATCCAGTAACTCCTCTATTGCCATCTCAAGTTATAGAATAGAAGGCTACATTTTCTGTCAGAATCAAGGAAAACCTTTTAATTAGAATAAGGCCAGTGTCATTAACACTGCTTATAGGACAGAAAAGGTGTCCACTTATTCACTAATCAGGAAATTAAAATGAACCACCCTAAAAAAAAAACGACAAAACGTTATAACGTGACAAGAAAAAAGGCACATATATACAAACATTTACAAACAGTCACCTTTATGTGCGGGAATTTTGACTACAACTAGGTCCTCAATTTCACAGGCTCAACTGCTGCTGTCAAGCTCGAGGAGCTGGTAACAAAGCCCCAACTGCTGAAGGACATTTCTCAGCTGTCCCCTAAGTACCAGACTTCCGCCCTTGAAGCCAAACATAGCCTTGATCTACACTTCGTCCCAAAACATACCGCTTTCTCGTACTGGGGGATGTACACAAGGTTTGTGTCTCTAATGGATTAATAGTTACCATAATAAACTTTTGAGATTGGTCTATTGTTTTCCTTTAATTTTTCTTTTTCAGTATTATTTTCTTCTTCTAAGCTATGGACTCTTCCCTTTTACTTAAAGTTAGCCTAATGGTTCTTTCCCATCCCCTCTAAAAATATGAACTTTTCAGACTGTGCCTTTCTGCTCTGCACTACAATGAAAATGCTGACAGGATGCAAGCTGTAACTGTAGATGGGAGACCACGCTATGCCATCAGGTTTCCTAAAGCCAAACACGGGGGATACTCAGTGAGAGAAGTTAAAACAAAAGCAACCTATGGTGGGTAAATAGTTATAACATAGCCTGTGTAAGTCCCCCCTGCCTTGGTAAAAAATGGAGAAGGGGCCCATTGTCAGCTTTTTACTGAGGGGAGGGGGGTCTGTACACAGGATAAAAATTAAATTGCTGTTCTGTATTTTTTGAGATCATTTGTTAAGGCAACCATTATCTGCAGCCACATTTGCTTATGGTAAAAATGATTTTAACATAGCACAGTAACCTGTGAATTTCATGGCACACAGATAGATATGACATCTAAATGAAAACATTTCAATAACTAAACTTGAGGTTCACTCCTACAGTATTACGTACCTTTTTATTTTAGGTTATTGCTCAAGTACCATAACCAAAGTCTTTGCCGGCTATGAAGACAATTCAAGGGCCTTAAAGACCTACATGTTGAACCTGCAAGTGAATACCCCACCACCACTGGCTGCATCCATAGAGAGACCCAACGGAGAGGAGGCAATAAATTCTTTCATTAGCAGATACAATCGTTCCAGCCTAGTCAACTAAAGACTAGCATGCCCTTCAGTATGGAATGCTTGAAAAAACTATTTTAGGCTAAAAATTATGTCACTACTGTGACTAAAATGATCATGTGCTATATGGTATTCACTTGAACTGGACACCTGGAAGAAAACTATCCAAGAAAAAAGGTTTTTGAAAACAGAGGATTCTGAATTTTGTTTCAACAATGCAAACGTTGAAACCTTTAAAACAGTTTGAACTCAACTTACCTCTCAGGAAAACAGCTCTAAAATTCATAAATGTCATTGGTCCATTGCAAAACAAAATTAATGATTAGATAATCTTCTTCCAAGTACCCTGGTTCAAGTAGTTGGACTGTAAACTGTGAACAACTTTGTGTATCGTTGTTGTCTAATCATTTATTAATATGGAAGATAGAAACAAGTCAATTGAGAATACTATTTTTTAAAATGAGGATTAACCATCCAATCACAAGCCTTGAGCAAATAGAAAGAATAATTATGTATTTCCCACACACCACTGGGCTTTAAAAAACCATGTAGTCTGAAAGTGAACTTTCTAGTTCCACCAGTCTTTGTTGACACTTCCATGCTACATATTTAAGAGCCAATGTCTGTAATTTTCGAGAATCGGTTGACAGTCGTGAATTTTTGAATTTCTTCATATTTTGCCCACATAATCTCTATAGTACACTTATTTCAAAAATCACATTAAAACTTGTAACGGCTTTTTATTTTTTCCTGAATCGGGCAAAGTTTGAAAAACGCCAAATCGGCGCTCTTTCGAGTATGAAATTAGCGAAAATTAACCATTTTCTTCGCGCTCGTACATAAAAACGGGATGATATCTCTAAATGAAATCAAGTCACAAGAAAAACACAGACTTGTACTTTATAATTCTGCAATTATCTTTAGACAAGCTGTTTAAATGTGACTGTGTTGGCCGCAAGAAGAAACACGATTTCGGCTCTTTTCAAAAATGGCAAATTTGACCTAACTTTACCATCGAAAAAAACAACTGATACATGGAATTTCAACATGAAACAAACACTATTTTAAAGCATATCCTTTGCCGTTTCTTGAGTTAAAAAATTTTTGGCGGCATTACAAAAGTGCGTCGCTGAGACACCGAAACGTGCAGCGTAGTTTCGCACGTTGGAACGCTGAAAACAAGCTAGCCGCGAGTGTAGGCACACAAAAGTATTTGCTAATTTAGCTTGTTTTACAAGGGGCACATTACGAGAAGCTCTAAAAATGTTTTGAAAAACGATTTTCAATTTGATAGTCATAAAAAAGAACTAAGTAGATTAACACTGCATTTGATTGCACGCAAGTAGCTGAAAAAGACAACGCTGTTAAGTTCTCATGGACTGTAAATATTGACCTCGAGTTTCTGCACCTAAAATAAAGCCGCTAGAAACGGCGTGCTAGCTCTAAATGGGATTCGACATCTCAAAGAAATACTTACCACAGTCGTTTCAACCGCAAGTGGCCGCAGTTTGCTGAAATCTTCCCTCGTGTAGCCTCGGACTAAACGCTGTCATGCGTGATGAAAGCCCGTGTGTAATTTGAGTCTGGTCACGCAACTGTACAAACAAGGATAAATCATCGCACGAGTGTACAATTAACACTGTTTTTTTTTAGTTTTATATTTTATATTCCCAAAACATGTCGAACTAAACTTGATGTTAGGATGTCACCAGCCGAAACTCAAATAGAGAAAGAAAACAAATAGAGTAAGCCGAGTCTGCAAAACTTTTCACACTAGTTTTCTTTTATTTGCACTAAGCCTTCCGTGCCTTTGCTTGTAATAAACTAATCTTTACCCCGCTTAGCGTATAGACTTCTTTAATGAATTGAGGGATTTAGGTACACACGTATGCCATATGCAACATGACGGTAGAGCAGGAAAATGGAAACGAGTAAAACTGTTTAAAGAAAATTGGCCAATGCTCCGCAAAAGAACATTCCTGAAAAACCACAAATCGAAAATGGACAATGGACACATTTGATGAGCGAAATACAAGTATTTAACATGTTTAAATTACTGAAAGTAGTATTGCTTTGCTCCTCTTCAGCAAGGGCAACTTCTGGCGAGACCTCAATCTGCTGTTGACGAATTGTACTTATCCCTCGCCCCCCGAAGAGAGGCCCTTAAAGGCCGGTCTACACAGTATGGGGTAGACCAGAATGCACGTACTGTTAGCTCCTGCCTGAAAAAAAAAGTAGTCGCCTGGCTCTATCCGCCACCATCCCCCCGGCACTTGTTCGCAGGTTAGAAAATAAACCAATTCACTGACAAGTTCTTTTTCATAACGTCAAAGTCCGTCGCGTAAATGAAAAATGCTTTAACATTTTACTTACTATCTTTCAACCAAATACGTTGCGGAGAAAAGAGATAAAAGGCTGAAAACAGCCTTTCATTTCGATTTAAAATTTCAGATGGAGAATGCCCTTTTCCTAGGTCTGCACCTGCAGTGACTTGTGTGCTAAAACTACTTCGTGGTGGTATCTCTCAGGCAAAAACAACCGCCTAGCGGCGAGGAGCGAGGCGAGAAGTCCGTGGCCATTTTCGAAAAGAAAAAGAAGTGTAAAGGCAGCACCTTCGTCGCTCAGAAAACGTCTGCGTATATAATTTTCTTCAGGCCGCACAGAGTTATCAATTAATGTGCCTTTACAGAACCCTTTTTAAATGAGCAGCCAGCATGGCCAGTAGGCTGTTCTGAAACGGTACAACGTGATTTGTTCTCCGCCACCCGGAACCAAACATTTAGCGGTGGTGAGGAAAAACTTTTATTTTTATGCGCCAATTTTGTGGATCAAACAAAGTCTGCTAGCTCTAAATGTAGTGATAAATACATGAATTGTTGTATGTGTAGGGTTGATCCTAATGGAAAACCCAATGCCAACCAACCCACCCATCTCCTCCTCCTTCCCTAAAGTAGACTTTTCATGACATTACATTTAGAGGTGGTGAGGAAAAACTCATATTTTCATGCGCCAATTTTGTGGATCAAACAAAGATCACCTAACGTAAATGCAGAAAACCTTACTTTTATCATTAGCATGGTCGGGTCGATGTTTGGTTATTGCCCTACATACTCACGTGACTAACAAGTCAGGAGCATACCAAGTGACTCACGACATCTTTTCTATGATCGCAATACATTCAGCATCTGACTGGGGCCACAGGCGCCACAAACCAAGTTTGAATATGTGCGCGATTCTATACGAACATACAACAAAGACTTGCACCGTAAAACACTTATACCAGGAATTTCTTTTCCGGCACGTTACGCGTCACGCACTTCCGGAATGTCATCTTCCCTCGTGTTGACAGATTGAAAACATATACAAACTTAACTTCGATTCTGCCGTGATGCAGAATTTAGTTAGCGGTACTGTGACCCCGTCTAGCATTGAAATTCAGGTGAGTAAATAACGTTTCTGATATTAAGGTTTCAATACGATTAAAACTATAGCAAGCGAGTATTTCGACAATATTCCCTTCTACTAACTGTGATTTGAACTGCGTATTGTCTCTTCATTATGGTTTATCGCAAAAATCAGTTGAAAGGAATCATGTTAAGCCGAACAGAAACGCCGAAATATAATCTGAAACCGTTACAACTCTGACTAGGATTTAAATGTCGAAGTAACTTAGGTTTGCGAAGGATTAATATTCCAAGCGTTGAAACTTGCTTGTTGCACGCGCTTTCCTGGTGTCAAAATACCCTTCAGTTTTTGGTCTCTCGACGGTGCGCATTTGGAATGCCGCCAGAAACATTTCAACACAAACAACAGCAAAGGATATGCTTCAATACAGTTCTTGTTTCATATTGAAATTCCGTGTACCAACTGGGTTTTTACGATGGTGAAGTTAGGTCAAGTTTGCCATTTTTTAAAAGTGCTGAAACCGTGTTTCTTCTTGGGGCCGGTACAGTCACATTTAAACGGTTTATTTAAAGTTAACTGCTGAATTATAAAGTAAAAATATGTGTCTGTTTTGTGACTTGATTTCATCTAGAGATATTATTCCGTTTTTATGTACGAGCGCGAAGAAAATGCTCCATTTTCGCTAATTTCATACTCGAAAGAGCGCCGATTTAGAGTTTTTCAAACTTTGCCTGATTCCTGAAAAAACAAAAAGCTGATACAAGTTTTAACGTGATTTTTGAAATTAGTGTACTATAGAGATTATTTGAGCAAAATATGAAGAAATTCAAAAATTCACGACTGTCAACCGATTCTCGAAAATTACAGACATTGGCTCTTAAGAGTAAGGGGCATTTTGTTTGCTGGTAGCAACCATTTTCATGGCAACCAAATATCCCTACGCCAATCTTCCAATGGTAAGTGAGAAAATTACATTATAATATTCTATAGACAGTAGGGTTATTTGAAATATATTTTATATTTATTCATCTGCATATTGAAATCCTGTATACTCCATCTCATCATCCAGCCTTTCAGGCTCCTGGAAATGAGCCCGTACGCAGTTTACTGCACATGATGGTAAGGGAACTCTTATGTCCTTTCCAAGGGAGCCCCAGCACCACCTTACCAATTGCCTGTACGCAATGTGCCTGCTTTTTTTATGATCTGATCCCTCATATGCCGAGGCACCATACTGCTGCTTGTATTGCAGCCATGCAGCCTGTAACACCCAGTAATTCAGGCAAACTGCCTGGAATCCTGGGTGTTCCACGATGCACTTTGGAGGCTCCTCCATATTTTCAACGTCAACTGCCTCCAAGTTTTTACGCTTTACAACATCCACCTCTTGGCAGCAGATGTTTTCCTCCTCCCGCCACATTTTTTGGCAGTAGCCACACAAGCACCTTGCAAACAATCAATAGCAGTTATGTTTTTTCATGATCAAAAGTGAATGTCTGGCTAATGAAAGGCAAAAAGACAAGTGTTGAATATTGACATTTTCATTCTGCACCCGAAACTTATAAAACTGCCTTATTCATACTTTAATGTTTATGGCCTTATTAAAGTATCTCATGTCCATAACCACAA